ACCCAGGCACCGGCGTTTGAACGACGCACGTGCGACATGGGATGAAGGAAGCGGGTCAGTATACCGCGGACTTGGCTCATGGATCGCCTGAGGCCGGCATTGGGGGGCGGAAATGTGGCTGGGTAAGGTTTCCAGATGGCATTCGTCGCGTTCACCAAGTCTGCGGATCGCAATGACGAGACATGTGATTATTAATCTGGGAAGGGGTGGTATGGTCCGGCGATTGACCGAAATGTGTCATGGCAGTGGTAGGTGACAGCGGCAGATAATCGAGCTACGGTTGAAGTTGCGGATGATGGCGTTGCTTGGCGCATCGCTCAGCTCCCCACGAGCGCGACAATGAAATTCATACGTTAGCGTCGGTGTCCACATGTCAGTACCATTTGCGGCACATTGCCGAGGTCTTATCGTAGTGCCACTTCCCAACCTCCTACAAGACGCACCTCTGCTTCCCACCTACCCACCTAGGACACCGCATGCAAACTTCGTCACGAAGGCCTTCTACGTCATCGGCGTTGCCCGGATTTTCTCACGGTCCTGAGTATCGACACAACCCCCATTCCTGCGATCCGTGACTTGTCAGCCTGGCGCGGCTGGTCTGCCGTCCTCGATCACCGGCGTCTATCAGCCACTTTATTGTAATTTGCATACACGCAGCGCACGTACCGAATTGCGATACGTATCGGACATATGCGAGCGAGCGTAGCACGCTTCAAAATGCTCTAAGAGTGTTCGTCAGGGTTCATGCTCGTAACCATACCGTCGCGTTCAAATTTGTCACGAACATCAGATGTCGGCCACTCTCAACCACGCAGAAAGAATCTTAAGTGGTCGGACATTCAGGCTACTCACAATTCTCCCTGCCCTCAATGAAGATGAACCGTTGCGATGCGAATGCCACTCTTTCGACATTGACGAGGCTCCTCCGTACGAAGCGTTGTCTTACGTGTGGGGCGATTCAACACCATCTGCCAACATATGGTGCAATGATCAGTGTATAGAGATTGGCCCTTCGCTTTCGCAGGCATTCAAAAGGCTACGTTATCGAGAAGTCACGCGCCTAATTTGGGCGGATGCGATTTGTATCGACCAAGCAGATGAGGGCGAGAAAAGTCACCAAGTTCCGATGATGGGTAGCATCTATTCGTTGGCAAGAAGAGTCGTTGTCTGGTTAGGCCAAGGAGATGCGCAACAGATACGACTAGCCTTCGAGTCCAGTAAAATCATTGCCGACGCTTGTTATGATTACGATCAGAGACACGGCATCATTCCAGATAGCTTCACAACCCATGACGAAGTCAAACTCCCGGAAATCGCGGCCTCTCCGACCGTACTAAGTAGCCTCAAGGAACTTTACAATCGACCTTGGTTCTATAGGATATGGTGCATCCAAGAAATTCGCTTAGCTGCAGACGCGATAGTCATCTGGGGAGACGACGAGTTATCTTGGTCAGCTCTAGCTATAAGTGCCGCATGGATCCGTGATAGGGATTATCGTAACGGGGATAAGTTAGCATTTTATGGGCTAGACAGCACAAATGCGGCCACGATGAGCCAAGAAACCATGTATCCACTACTAGAGGCGCTGCAGCTCTTTTGCACTCATGAGTCTTCTGACCCAAGCGACAAAGTGTACGGCCTACTCAATATCGTCTCACCAAGGTCAGAGGTAGATGCTTTAGGCGTCGACTATACAAAAGGCCTTGATGAAATATATGCCGACACGGTGTTGGTTTACATTCAACTTTACGCACGACTGACTGCGTTCGGCTGCATTGATCACCACGTCAACTATGATGGGCCTGGTCCTGAAGAGTGGAGATTCATTGACCACGATGTCATCTATGATGGACCTGGTCCTGAGGAATATGAGGACATTGAATACAGATCGTGGGCCCCGCGGTGGGATAGTGAGCATTCTCGTATGCCAATAGGATTACCTGAAGATTCATGTCCTTGGAGTGCATGTGGAGAGCATAAAGGGACTATTACTGTCGGCAGCTTGTCAGCTCTGGGAGATCTCTGTCTCAAAGGCGTGACGTACAGCAAGGTTTCTGAGGTCGAAGAGGTCATGGACTATCACAACCTGTCAGACCCCAAGTATATCGGCGGCCCGAAGACTACCGAGGATGCCAACGAAAGTATTACTGGTGCCAAGGATGTCCAAGCTATCGGGAATCCACCAAAAAGTCATCCATTCCTCAAATGTCACGAGCGTATGAATGTCAAATCGTCCCCAGAAAAACTCGCTCGCACATTGACGGGAGGCAGGTGGGTGGTTGGTTTGGATGAGTACCTACAGCTTCCAGATGAAAAAGCGAGACACAGCAACGCTTGCTCACGTTTGCTGCGCCGACTGATCAATCTTCAAGAGTCTGGTGATCAGGGCGAGTATGTTCACGATCGCGATTCAGTTTTATTTGGAAGCATATCTTATAATGTTTGTCGTCACCGCCGCCTGTTTTGGACGGAGAAAGGATCGTATGGTCTCGGCCCACAATGTATGCGAGCCGGTGATATCGTGGTAGTGTTGTACGGTGGTAACACACCCTATGTATTGCGACCAAGAGGAGATAAACACGTATTCATGGGTCAGGCTTACGTCGACGAGATCATGAACGGAGAGATTTTTCAGGGTCCAGCAGCGGACATACCGGAGGAGCAAATCTTTTGTCTTATTTAGGATTCCGATAGTCAATGATCATGAAGGTGGAAAGCTACAACTGCAATGACCTTATGAGAGACCCAGGATTGACGCGATGGCAATTACAGTTTCTCAAGGCGCTTTGATCTGACCAACATCCCCATCGCTACCCTGCCCCGTCGTTTCCTCATCAGAACTCGTCCGTTCCTCACGTTCAGAAGCCTGACCGCCACCCCTCTTAACCAACTCTCTCGCATACAGCAGCCGAATCGTAAGCGCAGTCGCAATCAGCGCCGCACTCAAGAACGACACCGTAATAAACCCCTTCCGATACTGCGGCGCCTCAACCTGCCTCCAAACAAGAAGCGGCAGCCAAGCCTGTATCACATACGCCATCTCATTCATTGCTGCGACAACGATAGCCCGCTCTTCGTTATCGTGCGTGCAGATCTCATGAGCCCATGCGAAGCACAAGCCGGAAAGACCGCCACCGAAACCGGAGAGAATGTAGCAAGCCCACTTCCATTTGATGGGTATATCCCAGATGGCCAGACTGGTAGAGCAGATGATATTCATGCAGCCGCCGAAGACGATTGGTTGCCATCTGGAGCCTTTGAGGATGCTGTCGCTCGTCCAGGCGTATAGCAGTGTTGTGACGACTTGTACGGCGTTGGTAGTTGTGGGGTACTGTCAACAACGTCAGTATTGCTACTTGTTCCGACGGTGTAGTGAAACTTACGGTATTGATCTCGCTGACGGTGTACTTCGGGTCCTTGCTCGCCTTGAGAAACTGTTGAAAGATCGGCTGTGATCCCATACTAGCATTGTTGAAGAACACGTAAAGCGGAACAAGAGCCCAGATATGCCACGACGTAAAGATCTTGCGTACTTTGGCCCTAGTATACGGCTTCCGCTTCTGTCGTCCTTCAAGTCGCATGCGCTCCTGCGCAAATGCAACCTCTTCTTTGGTCAGGTAGAAGGGTTTAGAGATCTCCGGAAGATCGGGCAGACAGAAGAAGCCGAGGACCGCGATGGGGAGAGAGATTATCCCGTCCACGATGAAGAGCCATTGCCAGCCTCTGAAGCCGCCTTTTCCGTCGAGCTTGTACACGCCGGCCATCAGATAGCCGGAGAACATGGTCGCGATGGCACCGCTGGTATGGAAGATACAAGATCTCTTGGCGAGCTCTTCCTTCCGGTACCACGATCCGATGATGTATTGCATGCCTGGGTAAAATGTGCTCTCCGCGAGGCCGATAAGGAAGCGCAGGGCGTAGATTGTCTCGGCGTTGTTGGCACGGCAAAGGCAGAACGTTAAGACAGCCCAAGTAAGCTACCGGTGTCAGTACTCATCTCCCAACCGCGCGGTGTTGCAGAATCATACCTCCATTGCGGGTATCCAAATCGACGGTCGAATGCGAGTAAGAATGATGTTGCTGGGTATTTCGCCGATGACATAGCCCACAGTCCAACAAGTCTGCATGTAGTTGAGCTGGTTGCCGTAAAGCCCAAGATCCTCCTTCCTACCCCAATGTCAGCCAGTCATCGCTAACGGAGGTCAGATACATACATCCCCGAGACGAAAGCGCTGTTTATGTTCATCTGATCAAGGTACTTGATGAAGTACCCCAACGACGCGAAGGTGAGTAGAGCGGCATCGAGCTTGAACATGAACCATCGCTCTTCTTTCGGCTTGTCCAAGGTATCCCAGAGGTAGTAGTACCACTTGTGCGGCGTCGCTTTAAGCTCTTCGTTGGTTTGGATGACAGTTGTAGCTGCGACTGCTTCCGTCGAGATATCCTGAGGTCGACCCATCTTCGCGAGGCTTCAGTGTGAAACGTATGTCTCGTGTCTGGTGTCTAAGGCGGTACTGGCACAAGCCTCAGCTTTATTGAACAAGCAGCACAAGGCCTCCTTTGCTATTGCTAAGCATCTTTTACGAAGTTACCCGTTCAGCATGGCGCTCGGCGCGTCAGTGGCGAGTCGATAATGCGCGGTAGGCTTCGTAGCGCGATTCGACATACTGGGGTGGGTATGGCGTTATGACAGGGTTCGCGTGGGGTTTGTGCGACATGTAGACAGTCTAAGTCTGATAAGCACGAACGTGAATTGCGTTTCCGGTGTTTGTAGGTTCAAGATCGTCGTGATGCATGGGAGTGGTGTGGCGTCATGTGTCGTGATCAGGCATGCAGATTGCGTGCCTGAGTCGCGCAATAACCGTGCCGAAAAACGCAGAGAACCTCAACACATTTCGTTTAATCATGTGACTGTAGAAAGCTCCCGAGGCCGTCTGTGCTGCTGGCTGTCTGGGCAGACTGGGTTTTGCGATTGAGACATGTTGTATTCATCCAGTATATCATATACACGTCGCTTCAAACCGTTTCTCAGTTCTAGGGTTAGCAAAGAACGCTTTCATCCTCTCAAGCTGCTCTGCCCTTGCGCTATGCCACTTCTCGGTATGCCCATGCAACTTATCTCTGCCCGCTTCTTCTAGATCAGCATTGACCCAGTCCATAAGCTCGTTGACATAGCTCGCTTCTTGATCTCGCAGACTATGAAACGACTTGCCATAGCCTTTGCTCTTCACGCGTGCGTTGTATTCTGACCGCATAGCATCTTTGCTGGGAATTTTGGCCTGGCCTGAGAGCACCTTTGCAACGACCATAGCTTGAAACTCGAATAGCGTGAAGGTAGCCGTGAAGAAAGGCACGCCAACAAAGGCGAGGGTCGGATCGTTAATGTAGAAGATATCTTTGTGTAGGTTGTGAAATTGTGTACCATCCGTCACCAACACCGCGCCGTCGGCATGCTGGACTGGCGTCTCGTCCGAGGTGAGCTGTGGTAGGAAAGGCAGGGCGAGATAGTAGCCAGTGCAAAGTATGACATGGTGGATATCACAGATCTTTGCGCCTGACTTCAACGTGATGGTGGCTGGGATCGCTTCGTCGGGGTCCAGTGATGCCGATGCATTCACGCGTGGTTCGTCGTACGACGCAACCTCCTCGATGCGAAATGCATTCTCTGGAAGCATGCTAGGCGGTAGATCAAATTTGCCGTTTCTTTGGCTCTGTAAAATCTTGTTTGCGTATGGGCCAAGTTCACGAGCAATGTCCGTTGCGGATACACTTGCACCGACAAGTAGATAGTTCTGGAGTAGTATCAGGTCACAAGGACGTCGTTTCGCTCGATCAAGCGCGAACGTACCTTATCTTGGGCATTCTCGGGCCTTCGGTAGCTTTTCGAATGTTGCACTCTACCAGGAAATCGTCGCTTCCACTCTGCCAGTCCATGCGTGTCGGGAACTCTTGGTGTGTGGTAATGACCAGACGCAATCACTACGGCGTCAAAGTCCTAGCCGAAGATTAGCAAACTCGAGGTGCAGCCAATATCAGAGTAATACTGACATGAACGGATACACGTCGCTTAAGCGCACCTTCCTCAATCTGCAGAGTCGCAGTCTCGACCGTCCATAATTTACCGTTCTTCGTAACCCGTCTCACGTCGGTATCGTACCGGGTCAGCCCATGCACCCCGGTCGAGGCAGCAGTAGCCTGTATGTAGTCGCACAAGACTTGATGCGTCACATAATCCTCAGTCCCAGGCGGAAACGGATTCAAGGTGGTTTCCAACAAGCGCGTGCTCACGTTGTTCTTTAGGCCCACATAGCATGGACTGTGTAGGGCCAGTCAGTCCAAAGTAGCGTTTGACGTGAAATTTGTAGACCTTACCCAGGTGGCGCATGAAGCAGTCTCTCCGTATCCTCCGTCTCCTCAGTCGCATGAACACTGTCAGCTCTAGACACTTTGGTTCCCGAATACGGTGGTTCCAGGGGCTTTCGCTCATCGTAGAGCCTGTTAAGCTGTCAGTCCTGCCTGAGGGACATGAAGTTGGACCGTATACCAGATGCCTCCTGCGGCACTCGATCGCTCAAAAACAGTGACCTCGACACCCTCTTTTTGGAGATGAGCTGCAGCTACCACGCCACTGATACCTGCGCCAATTACAGTAACACTTTTGCATCGGAAAGACATGTTGGAAATATTGCTTGTATGCTGAGGGATATTCTTCGCAGCTTCGCGCGTGCGCGTGCGAATAAGACCCAACTCTTCAGCCGACAGCAACACACACAAGCCTCCCAACACTCGAACATGAAAGCCATCTACCTACTGTCAGCATTCTTTGCTTATGCCTCGGCTATAGCGCTTGTCAGCACTGCAAGCATCTCAACCGGGGTGTAGCTAGAAACAAAGCGCGATGGTGGATACGAATGGCATCATGAGCGGCCATGTTCGCATGGGATGCCAGCAACCAAAACCGACGCACTTATTTGCGACTAAGATGTGATTACCTTTGACATGAAGCGAAGTTTCTCCGAGCGATAACATGAGAAACGTTGACTGGGTATTCGTCATCTGCAAGATTATGATGTGATCGCAACCCCGCAACAAGTGTCGCAACCAGCACGCGACGCAGCCACATCAGTCAACCATGCATGGGAGTCGGATTTGTGAACGAACGACCTGAGAAGTGGGGTAATAGAGTTCCGGATATAAAACTGCTTTGGACCGCGAGCGATGAGGTCTGCGCAACTGCATCGCAAACAACTTTGACAATGGCTCCAATCGCAATCCCCGTTCACGAACACATCCAGGAGAAGGATACCGTCCAGCCGCGGAAGGACTCGCTGGGGTTGCCAGAGCCAGCCAGGAAGAGACTCGAGAAGGCAGGAATCGATCTGTCGGCCGGCTATCCGTACAGACCAGCAAAACCACTCTACCTTGACGATGTGTACAAGATCAGGGACTATGATCGTGAGCACATCGATCCAGGTATCCGAGCCGATCCAGAGAAGCAAGCGTTGTTTAGTGCTGCGAAGGAAGTCATCCATTTAACCTCACACATCGGAACTGAGATCGTTGGACTTCAGCTGAAGGACCTTACCGACCAACAAAAGGATGAGCTTGGTCTTCTGATCGCTGAAAGAAGCGTGGTGTTCTTCCGTGATCAGGATCTCTCGCCTCAAGAGCAGAAGAAGCTGGGCGAGTATTATGGCGAAATTGAAGTCCACGTGAGTAGTTCTTCCCCAAAGACACTTCACGCGCTAAGATCGAGTGAAGCCACAAGTTCCATTCGTACCCGGTGTGCCAGGGGTGACGGTTCTGTGGCCCGCTCTGCAGGCGACGGAAGTGCCAGCCAGCTTCCGGAAGACGGGCGGAGCGTCTAGGTGGCACACTGATCTGGTGCACGAGCGCCAACCTGCTGGGTAAGTGATGGTATCTTGAGAGGATGTTCATTTCTGACTCTTTTAGCGTGACACATCTCCACAATGATACCATCCCAAAGATCGGAGGTGACACCCTCTGGGCTTCAGGCTACGCTGCGTACGAGAAGCTTTCTCCTGCTTTCCGAAAGATCATCGATGGCAGAGAAGCAGTGTACCGCAGTGCGCACCCGTACCTTGACCGCGACGACACTAGTGCTGGCCCTAAGCACATCGAACGCGTTCATCCGATTGTTCGTGTCCACCCGGCAACCGGATGGAAAGCACTGTGGGTCAACCGCGCCTTCACAGATCGCATCGTCGGACTAGACAAAGCTGAAAGCGACGTGATTCTCAACTACCTCTTCGATGTGTATGAAAACAACGTCGATATCCAGGTCCGGTTCCGCTGGACGCCAGGAACTTCGGCATTGTGGGATAACAGAATTACAATCCACAACGCGAGTTGGGATTATGGAGGAATTGAGCCGAGGCACGGAACAAGGGTTACGTCGTTGGCGGAGAAGCCCTACTTCAAGGCTGATGCACCAACTCGCAGACAAGCATTGGGCCTCGCAGGACCTGAAGATGTTTAGAGGGTAGATGGCGAATGTGTGAAGCTGGACTATAGGAGAGACGCGTTCCAGCGCGAAGGCGCGAGCTGGGTGCCCTAATTACTACGCTATCCCTATCATGAACAAGCGTCATACATCTTGGCATGGCATCATCGACCCCTTGATGCTCTCGGTGCATGCGGCCAACGCGTGTCCATAGGCAAATACTATCATTGTTCGATGACCTTTTCTTATCTTTCCATCAATGTCAGCTACTCATAGTTTCAGCAACTTCTCAGCATTCTGCCACGCAAACATGTCCATCTCGGCGTCACTCAAGACCTGCGCCCGCGCCAACTTCTCCACAAACGCCCACCCATCCGTATTGGCGCTGGACGGATAATCGACCGAATACATGATCCTCTCAACTGGGCTCACCTGTCTCAACTGCTCGAATTGTCTCACAGTAGAGAATGCAGTCGTAATGCTCCAGACATCCGTCCTCCACACCCGATCGAACGTTGTATCATTGCGTAGTCCCGCCGAATCGAATCGGTCATTGAACATGGTCACTTCTTCGCCGCTGTGTCCAGTCATGAGCTTCAGCTTGGGGAAGCGATCAAACAAACCCGCGCCATAGAGACGCAATACGTGCGTTCCTACATCGACATGCCACCCCACCACGTCACCCCGAGCTTTCCCGCCACGGCGGCTGGGTAGTTGCCCACGTACAACTTGGCTGCGATATCTGCGGTCGGGGTAGCAAGATGCAAGTACAGCGGTACATCGAGATTCTGCGCCATGGCGAAGACTGGATCGAAGCGCGCGCCGTTGTAGTACGTTCCATCGTCGAGATGATCCCAGATCATCGCGCCTTTGAACCCAAGGGTTGTAACGCTGCGGTTGAGCTCTGCTACGGCTTCTTCCGGCAGAGACATAGGCAGCACCGCGAACCCGGCGAATCGTGTAGGCATGGATACGATCACGGAGCGAACAGCATCGTTTGCTGCGCGGCACCCCTCAATATTTTCCAAGCGCGAGGCAGATTGCTGCACGAGGACTTGCATAGACAAGTGGCCGGCACCCATAGCGGCGATGCGCCCGGCACCGACATCCTTCAGCTTATCAAGCGTACCCGGAGGGTTGCGCTGCACTACACCTCCGGCGATCACCTCTGCTTCGAGCGACGGCGAGACAACGTGCTCTTTGAGGGCAGTCAGGCGCTCTGGGAGATCACATGGTTTGAGCTGGAGGCAGGCGGGGGTATGCTATTTGTGCTTATGGCGAAGACTACAAGGCGTGCTGAGATGTAGGGCACGCATGCTGGGCAGACACGAAACAGGACTGTCTGGGCTGGATACACCACGCGTGCTCACACAGGGTTTACACCCCATCATGCAGCTGATTCCTATCTGCTCCTCAGAGTAAGAGGAGAGTAGTTCCGCTGTGTTTGTGTAGACATGCATATGCCGTAGTGCATCGTTCAGCTGTGTATGAAGAAGCCCCATCGCCTTTACATTGTAACTTATCAAACTCGTGCTGTTTTCATTGGCTAAGCTTCGCAATCGCCAGCGTGGCGCTCTAAGCGAGGCGTTGGAGCGTCCCATCGAGACGGATCTAGATCGCGAGGCAGCTCGTTTCGCTGAAGTCGGCGATAGGGAAGTCGACATTTGCGAGCCTTTGTCGAAGTCGGTCGCTCTTCGGGTGTACGCGCATGCAGCAGAGTTGGTAGGTGCACGAACTAAAATATTGACGACGTCGATGTTCAACGAGCAGTACAAGACAAAAGTCACCTCAGGTCCATTCAAGATTCGCTGGCAAATTGGTGTTCGGATTGCGTCTAGAAACTTGGGAGCCATTATTACTCTTCTCTTCCGCCGTCAACCACCTCAATGTATACGGCCTGCTGTTCACTTCGAGTCACTGCGATGCCATGGTGGAGTTACTTGCAGCTGCCACGGTGCCTCCATCGCCAGAGCTGGTCCCCACAAACACCACCAGAACAGCAGCATAAGTCGCCGTCGAGACAAGCGCTTCGACGTTCGAAGTCCGAACTCCAAATGAGAGGGCAAGCGCGAACCAGAAAACCGACAGGGAAACCGTGATCAGGCTTTTCTTTTGCGACGTATCAATAGCCATGATCAGCATTGGAACGATAAGGAATAGACCACCCGTTATCGCTATCAGAAAGCGAGCAAGATAATCGACGAATGGCGACACGTCTTTGGGTTCCTTGCCATCTTCATACTCCTTCAAACGATCAGATCGCTCGTTCTCAGAGTATGTGACGTAGACAGGCAGTTTCTTCATTAAGTACCTGCGAAAATGGTCGATCGTGGTGACCGTCTCGTCGAAGTAGGCGTAATGAGAATAGAACACCTCGCCAGTCCCAAACCGAGACTGGAACCATGCTTGCAGCATGAGTCTCCTCGGGTGTGTATCTTTCCTCGCTACGCTCTTTCGGCTTCTAAGGAACTGGTAATCCCGAATCGCGGTGACTAGTCACTTGTCAGCTATCTGCCTCTTGTAGTTCGCTATTGTCCCTGCAGGTTCGTACCATAGTCTTTCAGGCTATCTTTGAGCTTTCCAAGGTCATCGGCTGAGGCGTTTCGCGTGCCGTCAAACTGCAGCTTGAGCTCAAGTAGCCGCAATTGTTGTGCGACGATGTTGATCCGCTGGAGCTGCTCAAATCGCAAGAAGTGAAACTCCTCTTCCTCTTCAAGTGACCGCGCAACGTAACCCAACAGGTCGCTCATGTTATTTGGGCTCGCCATGTGCTGTGCATCAGGTTTCAGGCGGGTCCTGCTGCGTTTTCCAGCGACAGCTTCCAAGGCTGGCTCCAGGCCTTGGCATCCAATGGTTGTCTCGATGCCATGCAGCTCAGCTGCAACCCCCGCTCCGATGACCACCCTTACCTGTTACGCATCACCCCTCTAATCTTCAAGTTTCTCTGACAACTACAAACGTCATGGGTGCCCATCTTTCAATGTCTGCGCACTCGCGCAAACACCTGCCGACGTTTCCCAATACAGTGAACATGAGTGTCACAGCAGAAACCTCAGCCCGTGGAGTATCCAATCCCGCATTCAATGCTGGTATACAGATCGATCTTCTTCTCGCATCTCATGCCGACTTTCTTCGGTCAGCGGTGAGGAACAAGCTCTTTGGTAAAGGCGACAAAAGATGTGAGCAGAGCGTGGAAAATTACATCAATGCCTTGAAACGCTTGGACGCGGCACTGCTAAGTGGTTTCGAGAGACTATGCGAGCAGGATCCCGTGATGGCGGTAGGTCATTGGAAGGGTAGGTTAAAGTGATTTGTCAATGCGAAAAACTGCACATAGCTGACAGAAAGGTAGACGTCGATTCGGAACTTGTTGTCATAAATGAAGCCATGAGAGTAGCCTTCAAAAAGGCTAAGGGGGATATCAATTCTAGAACACACGACGCCGATATAGAAGCTAGTGCGGCTGAATTGCAAAGAATAATCGGCAACGTCGAAAGACTCGCCAATCCGAAAAGGAAGGGGGTTGGACGTATCCACAGACGCAAATGAACAGCGAAGTTCTGGGATTGGGATGTCATAGAACAACGCCCATGACTTGGTTGATTGATTGCCTATACGTTGCAACAGCTCTTAGCTCGTGACCGCCATGCACCCTGAAGTCCCGCCTATCGCGTAAGCACTGTGCCGCGCCTCGAAAGTCGACAACAAACACTTGCAAAGAGTTCTCTTTCCTTCCAAGTCCGCATTGTCCACTGCAAGAACCATAGTATCGAGATCAGCGATTAGTTGCTTATAGATGCGCAATTCGGCAGCCGATGGGGCTGTCTCAGTTGAATTCTGGATATGATGTGCGAGAATGGTGACGAGTGCTGCGACGAGATAGGGATATACCATCCTGCAAAGAGGTTAGTAGCTGTTGTAGCCGAGGCCAACGTCGACTTGGACGCTAGTGTAATGCTACTTACCAGTACAAAGCAACGTTACCCCGGGGTGCTACTGGTAACAGACTCAACAGCCTTCGCGCCTCCAGATATGTTTTGTGTTGCTTCATCTTCGACATCCTGATCAAGCCGTCCAGCTCGAAGGGATTGGTCTCCGAACTCATGTCTATCGCCATGAACGCATGTAGTCGATATACAGTTCCGAAGTAGTAAGCCTCCAGTGCAACACAATGGCAGATGTCTGCTGGATACAGTATCTGTTCCAGCTGAACAGCAGACAGATGAAAGATGTGATGCTGCTCGTGAAAGGCCTGCAAGCGTGCGAGCACGATAGCTGTAGCAGCGCTGAGGTCCAGCGGAGTTGTATTACATGTCTTGCGAGAGAGCACCTGATCAATGGCTTCGGTCTGGAGTAAGGCTATCCTTGTGAAGAGCCAGAAGATATGCGCTCGCCAGGTACCCTCGGTCGCAGTGAGCGCACCAAGCTCGTCTGCTACAAAGTCGGAGCAGTTGGCTACGTCTTGAAGCTGGTGTGTTGGTTGCGTATTGCTCAAGATGCTCAGACTGATGTCGTTGGTGAAGCAGATCCAGAAAACACGACGCTGTTGTGCGCCGTCACTTATCTCCTGCGCCGTCGGATTGCTTCTCTTGCCTTCGTTGGCTAGGCTTCTAATGACGCGGAGGGCAGTGGAGACGAATTGTCCCGCTGTCTTCTTATGACCGGATGGGCTGGCGACAATGAGTAGTGCAATTCCGACTAGGCATTGGACTTGTCCCAACGAAGGCGGCGCTGCGAGAAGGGTGTCGAGCGTAGAATAGGCGCGAGCAAGGTAGTATTGAGCCATTTCCATATTATGGCTGGCACCAGCTGCGCTCATGCCACGCATATGATGTGCCATACCAAAGACAATGTACGCACTCGTCCAAGCGATTGCCGAGTCATCAGGCAGCCCCGCATAGCATGTTCGGAGGTGGTCGGCGATGACATGTGGTTGGTATAGCGGATAGGCGGTGTTCAGGTCTGTCAAGAACTCTGCAAGCAGTGTGGTTCCGAGCTCTGGGGGCGGCAAATACCAGTCACTAGTTGGACTGGTTACCATTGGCGGTGGTGGTAGACCGACATCCTCGGTCGGCCCCGTCCCGAATTGTGCAGCTCGTAGGAAGGCAGCATCCTCTTGGAAGTTGGCGGAGGAATAAATGCCATCTAACGGAACCTGGAACGACGGATCAAATGTGGAAGAGCCATGACTAGAGTCGCCGGTAGACAGTGCGCCCAGGTCGTCTGCAAATAGACCATCATTGTCTGGTAGGAAGCTCTCTATGTCAAAAGGGTCGAAGTCTGGAAGTTGGGGATGAGGGCCAGCCTCCACCTCATGACGCAAAGAATCCACCCATGCTGAGACTGGTGGTGAATGTTCTGACGTTTGCATGACCGGTTGTTGGCGCACGTGTGGTTGTGCCACGTTCCGCTCGTGTAGCAGCGACTCTAGCCTCTTGATTCGATCTTCATACTCAGCTATGCGATTGCTGAATCATCGTCAATGAGATTATCGTTTGTGAAGTGCAGCCAAATCATACCCTCTTTGTGGTTTCGACCTTTGTTTGCGCGTGTACGTAGTCATGCACGTTTCTTTCAAATTGGTGCACGGCGAGCAGCCCTGAGGACCGGAGTTCCACACGCATCTTCGCTTCCGTTTGCGACACAGATCGCAAGCCTAGAAAACGCGTCAGTCTGCTGGTAGACGCGTGTGGAGCGCTCGCGATGCGATGTTCGATGCTCCATGGCTGTGGGCGGATGTCGTGGCAGAGTCGCGTCTGAAGCGGATGCAAGGACCCGCAGCGGCTTAAGCCGGATAAATGCTAGCAAACCTACTTACTCGCACCGTGGACGCAGACCCGCGTTTCTCGACGCCACTACTCGACATCGTGAGTTGCCTGATTGATTGTTGAGATCAAGGTATGCTGACATGCGGTTCGGTTTGATGCCTCTTGTCGCTAGCAGGATGGCCAATCCCCGCCGCCCAGTTCGCTGACAAATCTAAACTAGTCACCACTGCCATGCAAAGGTTCACTCTCCTGGTAAGAGCTATGATTGAACTTCACGAGCAATGAGACGATACGTTCATCAACTAATAATTGATGTCAGCTCTAGTACTTCGAAGAGAAATGTGGTATCACAGCTACGGGCCAAACGCGCCTTCCATGTTTCGCTAGTACGCGAGACCGGGACCGAGAACGACCCATTACATTGGTGCAAACACCCTTAGTGCCGGCTCTGTAGACTGCAACAAACAGCTCGCGCACGCCTCTTTCCCGTGCTTCTTCACAGCATTATAACTCCATGTCTCAATCATGAGTTTAATGGTCTTCAACTCACAAGAATAGTTCTCTTGTACGTCAACGAGCGAAGAGATGAAGGTCATTGGGGGCGCAGAGAACTTCTGGCTATACTCCGAGAAGGAAGGCTACGACATCACGCATCCTGCCGCGCCCCATGGCCCCAAGGTCTACCCCCGCCTGACACTACGCACACAGGACTCGCACGCCATCATTGACCCCACCAGGACTGCACTCGTGGTCATCGACATGCAAAACTACTTTCTGTCCCCAGCATTTGGTCGGCCGTCGGACAGCCTGGGTTTGCAAGTTGTAGAGAGGCTCACCAAGCACGCGATACCAGCTTGCAGGAAGGCCGGAATCCCAATCCTTTGGCTCGGTTGGGGTCTCGCAGATGAGGATCTTGAGACTATGCCCCCTGCGATTGTCCGTGGTTTCTCAATGGACACAAACTTCGAGGGCGATCGTGAGGTACCTGGTCCTGGAACGAACATCGGGCCCATAACGCTAGATGACGGGTCTACGGTCGAAGGCGGCGCCGTTCTCATGCGCGATCAATGGAATTCCAATCTCTACAGTACTTTGGAGAGTTTGGCCCACCCTGATGATCTAAGAGTTTGGAAGAATCGACTGTCTGGGTTCTGGGGTGAGACCAAAGTGGAGAGTGTGTTGAAGGCTCGCGGTATTAGGACACTGATCTTCGCAGGCTGCAACACAGACCAATGTGTTGCTGCCAGTTTGACCGATGCGGTCTGGAAAGGTTGGGATTGCCTCTTGCTGAGCGACGGAACTGCTACAACTAGCCCGAAATTTGCCCAGGAGATGGTTGAATTCAACATGGGAGGATGGGGATTCTTACTGAGCTGTAAAGATCTCGTTGACGGTGTGGACACATTGGAAGAAGGCTCGAGTGATGGGGCTTGAATGCTCCGATGTGCGAAGACGAAGTGCAATAAGTACTAGGAAGATAACACAAAGGTCTTTTTCCACTCATCTATGGAAGCAGCGATACTATCGGTCTGTAACCCTCACAAGCCAATTTTACCACTTTACATGGAAACCACTCTTGATGTTTTCACCTGTCTTTCATCCATCAGAGGACTGAAGAATTCATCAAGTTCGGACGCGCTTTGCTACTCCACCAGCACTTAGGATTGCAGCCTGGCGACATGTACAACCCGAACGTCTGACAATGTCAAATGAAGGCCGCCCAAGACCCTGGACACAAATTTGTCATAGAGATGGGACTGGCGTATCGCAGGTGATTTGATGACAACAGTCTTGATATGCGGCAGTCTCCCCAGCGTCGAGATAAGCTTGCAAATCTCCATTTCGTATAACCTCCAACTGATCAGTCGTGGCTGTACTGATGATGACGTTGTAAATGCGTGTGGGCGTAGTACAGGTCGAAGATTTACATCTCGAATCGCAACTGATATATTGGTGACATGCGAGAGGAGATGGCCAGGCGTTGCGTCTACCCAAGTGTATAGCGAGAGTTGACTCGAGAAGCTGATAGGTCTCTGGTAGAGAAACTTGCGTGCTTCTCGCTCGATCTGACGACAGGTCTGAAGTATTTCCGGGCCTTGTTCGGACGAGGAGAGGATGTTGCGGTAGATCTGCTCTCGCAGTTCCGCTGGTAGGCTCAGTAATCGATTGCTTTCTGGGGGATCAACTTCCGTGGATAGTCTTGTATCATTGCTGTTGATATGGCGTGATATTTGAGCCATTTTCAACATCTAGCTACCCGTATGCGATCTGCTGGTATCTGCGACTCCGTTCGAGTGCTATTGCGAGTACGAAGGTAATATCGGGCATGCGTAGAAAGGCCTCAGATATAGTGCCGCTTTACTAAGATCAAATGCGTGGGGAACCTCGACGACAATTCGGTGCGCGAGGAGTTGTACTGTGAGCTGTAGATTGGTACGGAAGTGCTAGTATAATCTCGGTACTAGACTATAATTTGACAAGGCCGGTAAACCATGGCTTTGATCATTGGGTATACCTTTGACCTTATAGGATTCCGGCATACGAGTAGCGGGCTGTATAGCTAGGCCTCGATTGGGCGTATCATCGAAGTCGTTGCATAGCCGATACCCCATTTTCACAACACAGAACATCGCGACGAGTGTCCAGATCAGTCCCAATCTGAACGTGAGTCTGTTCGAGTTCAGCAGTATCGGTAACGAACCGAGCATATGGCGTTATGCTTTGACTAAATGCAGCAAGAGTGCCGCTGATCGATGGCTTGCGACCGTTTTCAGAGCTCGACACAAGCTCAATGTGGATGCTACATCACCACGTGAATTTTGAGCGTTCGAGACGTAGGTCAGTGCCATTCCCGGCATATGCCAAGCGTGTGCCGTGCAAATTTGCTCTGGACCGAGTCGTTACCCTACTTGACCATCACCTTCCGGAGTCTTTACCGAATTCCACTCAGACGTAAGTTGGATGATTGGCCATGACCAGCTAGAGTGATAGCCTTATCAGACATGGCCAGAGCCCTGCAGTGATCCAAGTCAAGGTCTGGGCGCGCTGAAGATTAATAGTCCAGTAAAGTCGCAGACCTTTTGCGCAGATCGTACGATATGTGGTGCCATATTCTGCGAATCGGTATTGTCTTGCAAGGTAGCGTGGCCCTCACTCGCTTGGTGTACATGTGCAGATTGGATACCTACTTACCATGGACGTCTGTCGCGCATGCAGTGATGGAGTCGATCGACCATGGTTCCCAAGGGAGCGTTCCAATACAATGGTTGAGGACGTGTTTGGAAACTCGTACCCATGGTTTTGGTGAATGCAGAGATTCTGACGGAAGCGGACAAGACACATTTAGAGTGCTGTTAATTAGCCAATAGTTCGCGGTCTGTGATCAGGAACTCTCAGCTACGTGATATGAATTTTGGGTAGCTTGTTTTCCTTTTGGGAGCCAGTCCGTTGGTGTTTCGATATGCCGGCAGATGGTTCAAACACACGTGGCAGCCTTTTCGATCCGGGGTGCACCAACGGCTGGTACAGCGATCTGCGGAAACATGCGTCCGGTTGCCTCGTTCTGAACAAGACACTGTGCCATTCGATTTGTGATGACACTCCAGTATTGATGGCGTTCCTATCATTCGATGTGAGTGGTGCAGGAGGCGTGCAGTCGACGGGAAGGGAGCGTGACTAGCGGATGACGCTAGCGCAGAGATGGCCCCACTTCAGCCCTGAGGGCACCTGCTCGATATCACATCGCTCCATCCCGACCGCCTGCAAGCCGACACAGCAAAACCTGATCGCATCGATGATTATTGTCCCTTATTCGCCGCTTCGAGTGGCCTCATATGCCCCTCTCCTCGCAGCTGCCTCCTGACGTACGCTGTTCGGCTCAATCTCGCTGGAAAGGGGAACATCAGCCACATTATCCATCAGGCTGTCTTGAACCGGATATGGATCCAGGTCCATGAAGACTTCAGTGCAGTTCAGAACGCCACTACGGTTCGCTTCATCAGATCGACTGAACGCGGAAAGAAGTCTGCTTATGCGGTCCATTTGAATTCCCACCCCTAACAGGCTTCCATGTCACAATCACTGCAGCAGCTCGGTCGCAAGGTGCCACGCTCATAGCAAAAAAAAACGAAAGCGTGCTGGCTGGCGAAAGATTGCGCAAAGTAAATTTACGATTTAGACGTTGGCTAGAACCGCGTCGAAGCCTCTGTATGATGTCTTTTGCCAGACCACATCACGCCTGTCCCACCACCAAACGACGTGCGCTTTCCACATCGCGATGAATCTATCAAAATATAGATTACTCGCAAGAGTCCAGAGCCTTGCTGCGAGCACCACCACGTAGAATCAGCCATCCCGCATAAGACCGCACGCGAGATATCCGCCTCACAGTCGTACGAGTGGCTTCGCCCAAGCGACATAACCAACACCATCACATGCACCCCGACGCCTTCCTTGCACTAGAACGCTAGCTGCGGTTGCCGGAACACAAGAACAGGAATTTCGTAACGAAGTCTATTCTAGCTAACATCGGCAGGCTACCGAAACAATCGTGGCTTCGTCCTCGGCAAAGCAGTAGGCTAGCTCCTGCCTGTGGTTGTTCCCA